TGCTCAGAATGGCGTCCTTTCATGGAGGTCATCAGTGTGGTTTTGGATGCAAAATTCGAATTGCCACACCGCAATAACGCAGAACCAAGGATTTGGAGCTACAATCCGAGCCATCAATGGAGGACCGGAGTGTGGCAAGGGCAGTGAGACACAACCCGCACAGAACCGCATCAATTATTACAAGGACTTTTGCTCACAGTTGGGTGTTTCACCAGGTGGGAACCTTGGCTGTGCTTAAACAAATGTTTTTAAAAGTAATGAATAAGTAATTAACTACTGAATAAAAACAAATAATAAATCTGGAAATTGGTCGTTGATGATTTTAATCTTTACAGTAGCAAGAATTACTAGAGGAGAATGCTGAAAAGTCTATAATAAAGCCGATAATAATATCTTGCCTATCAGTCTACTTACAAAATGGGTAAAGTTGTAAGATGATGGATATCTAAAAAAATTTGGTATCTAAAAAGCATTGCTGATATTACTGCATGTTCATTTTAAACAGAAATTCTAAGTACTTGCTTTGTTGCTACCATCGGTTCTATCCCACTCTTGAAGCTGATCGAGGTATCCAGTGTGATAAATTAACCTGTGGGGGGGATTGTCGTTAAAACAACGACTTGAAATAGCTAAGCAAAATACTGTCTCAGTATGATATTAGCTTATTTTAGTGCAGATAATACGGCCCAAAAGCAAAATTAGAGACCTTGGATTAGCTTCTAGCAATCTTTACAGTAGCAAGAATTACTAGAGGAGAATGCTGAAAAGTCATGTATAATAAAGCCGATAATAATATCTTGCCTATCAGTCTACTTAGAAAGTGGGTAAGATGATGGATATCTAAACAATTTTGTTATGTAAAAGGCATTGCTGATATTACCACATGAGACATGTGAGGGAGAGAGGTCAGACCTAAACCCTTCTTCTCGTTCGTTTTAAATGGAAACTCTAAGTACTTGCTTTGTTGCCACCATCGGTTCCATCCCACTCTCGAAGCTGGAGTGTGATAAATTAACCTGCGCGGGATTGTCGTTAAAACAACGACTTAAAATAGCTAAGCAAAATACTGTCTCAGTATGATACTTCCAGTTTCCTGCTTCACATTTGCAAAGTAGGCAGCCAGTTCCCTCTTTTGAACATCAAGACTCCCCGACAGTAAACTCACATAGCATTTATCCATTAATCTCATACTACAGAAGAGGGTCTTTGCAGCTCACCTGGTAAGCTGGAAATGTTATATTCAAAATTTAAAGAGTATATATATGCAGGAATTACAATTACGATGCTGCTGGAAAGGCTTTCAACATGAACCTCCTCCAAAATCTAGACCAGGTTGCTCAGAATGGCATCCTTTCGTGGAGGTCATCAGTGTGGTTTTGGATGCAAAATTCGAATTGCCACACATAGAACCAAGGATTTGGAGCTACAATTCGAGCCATCAATGGAGGTCAGGAGTGTGGCAAGGGCAGTGAGACACACACACAGAACCGTATCTGTTTTTAAAAGTAATTATTAATCAACTAATTAGTTCAACCTCCCTAAAGCTGTTCCTTGGTCAAGTTTCCCTGCTAGAACATGAAGGACAAGAAGACTTAGCGAGGAAGGGGGATAGAGCATGTATACCAAGGTGTGGCAATAAAGAGACTTATTTGGAGATCATCTTCGAGTTTTAAGACAACGATCACATCGTTTCTGCATGATCAGCGACATCAAGTCGACATTCTGCTCGCCCAACAATTGATCCCATTTTGCAAAGTATTAACTCGAATTATGCCAATGGGGTGAATTTTGCGGTCTCTGGAGTGACTGCTTTGAACACCAGCCTCGAAGTCCCACTGTACCTTTCGGTTCAGATTGACCAGTTTCTAAGGTTCAAGCAGGATGCTTACGACAGCGGACATGGTAAAGGTAATGATTCTTCTCAGACTTTGCAAAGGTTAGTGTAGTTTCCTCTGTAGGGACGCAAAAGCTAGTTCCTTATTATCATCATCTAAAGACTGCTCTATATGTGGTTGTCATAAGTACTAATGACCTTCTCAATTCCTACTTGTTGGAGCATAGAAGCTCTAAGAATGTAACAGTTGAGGTTGTTCTATATGTTGTGAGAGCCAT